CTAAATGAGCACAGATCTGCAATAGGATGGACTGGGATCAGGCTCTTCGAGAGCGGAGAATACGTTTGATATAACGATTTGGGCATGGAGATGGGGTCGTTACATGAGTTGTATGAAAGAATAACTGAAAATTCGACAGTCCATATAGAGGTATTAAGAAATTGGACAACCTCAAATGGTGCACATGGTGCAACATCCTATACTAGACTATGAAGGCTATGGGTCAAATCGTACAAATTCTCATTAGCTAATAATGAGTGTCAGGAAAAATTTGGTTTACGGCAACCCACTTAGGTTTTAACGGCAATAAGAGAAGAGTCATCTTTGGAGGATCTAAATGTTCAATACATCACAAAGACTGAGATTGCACTTCAAAATTAGTAGGCCTTGTGGGATAGATATCAACTGCATTGTCCAACAGAACACATGGTACTATGCAAAGCAACACAGAAAAGAACACACGGGAACAACTACTAGCTATCAGAACCACAGAGGATGATGTGTTTGACATACCATCAATTAAGTTTGCTATACTTATACGAGCTTATGTGTTACATATTACATTCTCTCAAATATTTTGAAAACAGTTAAAAGAAGAACAAGTTCAAGCCATCACAACAATGAGTATAGTTCAACTGCCAGATATTAGCATAAAAGGAAAGAGATTGAAGAAATAAGGTATTTACCAAGGGTGAGGAACAAATGATTCAGTCTGAAAATTTAACTAACGTTAATTAAGAAGAACACTCAAAGAGTCCACATGTTAGGCAACATCTTCTATCAATAAACACGCATCTTTAGTCACATTCCCTTAAAGTATGCAGAAAAATAAGCGTGAAAACCAGTTCGCGAAGTTCTTTGATGCCCTCAGGCAACTTTACATTATTATTCTTTTTATTGACGTAATCTTCCAGATTCCAAATTACTCTAAATTTTTTGAAAGAGATGTTGACCAATAAGAGAAAGATTCCAGCATAAAACAATATTATTATATAAATGGTGCATTGACCTTTAATCGTATACTAAGTAATTCAAACCCAATGGTCATTACCTAGTTTACTCGTTAGTCAAAGACACTACATACAGATATACTCAACATATATAGAATCAACACAATTTTAGATGATCTCATTTTTCGGGTCAACCACTTGTAAACTAATCTTGCAATATGATTAAGTGATAGAGAAGATAATGTAGGTTGATAGAAATTAACACACAACTTACGACCAGGTTCTACCAATTCACATATTTGTCTATCAATCAATAATTTCCAAACCTATAGAACAACTGTCCATGACCATTCTGCTCAAAATAACTTGGAATCTTACATGGATAAGCAATTTCTTTTTCAAAAAATTAGGCACAAACAACATATTTGAATCAATAACAATTTTAAACATCAAACCACCCTAAACCGGTAAGGCTATCTAACTTGTGAACCATAATCAAGATACAATATATAATTACACCCAAACTTGAATTACACATTGCCTTTAATGTGGAAATGAACAAACTAAAAGAGAATGAAGGGTAAACAAAACTTAACGGTCGGACATTTGGTGAAGAGGTGCTTATGCTCGACTTGGACTTGTGATGTTCTTGAATAGTTCATTTCTAATTCACCCAACCTTGTGATCAAGCCTCGACTTGATTTCTAACCATTTTCGTCAACAAGCACCTCATGAAATAACTAATGGTTTCCAACAAAATCACGATAAATGAATAGATGATATAGGGTAAAATCAAAGTCAATAAGTGTAACCAACATAGTTGAAATGAACCCTCTTGAGAAACCATGGTCAACCTAGGACTTCAAAAAAATGATCTAACTACAAAAATTATATCAAATGACAAAAAGAAATAGTAAAAGGGTTAAGATTAAAAAAAATTGTGTTGTCTCCCAATAAGTACTTGTTTAAAGTCATTAGCTCGACTTTGGCTATTTGAATCATGGACAACTAAAGAAAACTTTTGATGCATTGCAAATTTTTTTTCTTTTGACTTTACTCCACTTCATTTATATTCCAAACATCTGCTTTGCTACTTTCAGTATAACAGGACTTGCATATTCTATTTGATTCAAATTCAACTGTGTAGACTTCCATCTCCTCATCGAGCTTTATCACAAATCAATTTTTGGGTAATTAATAAAGTCAGAAGAATGTATGATAACTCCATCCTTGTTAATTGTGACATCTTCGTTTGGTTCCTTTATGATTAATTTGTCATTTTCTTTATGCTCTTCTTCAATTTTTGAAACTCCTCGGGTTGAATGATCTACAATCTAAATCCATGGGCAATGAGAAGTTTGTCCCATTAGCTATTTCAAGTGGATTATACCCCCACCTTTTAAACTCATTTTAGTACATGGAATCTCCCCATAGGCATGTTGCTTTCATAACTTGGAAAGTTCACTATAGTGTTTTAAAAGTACTGTCTCATTCAATAGGGGAGGACCATCTCCCACAAGCGTGATGACCTCATCCCATTTAGCAAGTACATAATCTTCCATGAGCATGTAACTCTCAATATGTTTGTCTAGTACTTGTTTTTGACATTTCAAATATTGTCTAAACCAAAAAGTTTAGACGTGAATACATCAGTGTACATAAGCATTGCCAAGTACAATGCATCGTGTAACAAGTTTCACAATTTGGATCCCATCCAAGTATATCTTCATCGTTCATATAGAGATTACTCATTGCAAAAGTTTTGTTACTTTACCTTCATCGGAATCATGTATATAAAATTGAAAAGTACATGGAAAGAATACTAAACACAAGAGAGATCAAAACTTTGGTGGGTGATCAAAAAATACAAAAAATTTTTTTTAAAAAAATGGTTGAATATGAAGTAGTTGGGATTCATGGTTTTTAATTAAATTTTAATTAAGACAAAAAGCAATTTACTGAATCAAGAATGATTTTCTTATTTTAACTAATTCGCTCTCTCTGGCGAAATTAGCCGTAATCAATTGGTTTAACCTATTATAACTCTATATTGATTAAAATCCAATTAATTGCATCAACTCTTTGTGAAAAATAGCCAATTGGTCATCATGTTATGAGTATATCTCCATATCCTAGAAAAACCTAGGTATTTATGATTTGGTCTAAAATGCACAATATTCTCTTAAACATATCCCTCAACATAATCATTTACTGGCCAAATAAACTAAAAGCATTAAATATAATAATAAATACACATGAAAATAAGTAATTTAACATTAAAGAGCAAATATTAAAATTAATCAAATTATGCTAAGCTACATCAATCATCCCAACATAAAATAACTTAGCTCGTTTTATGTAAATGATAAAAAGGAAAAGATTTATAGAAATGCATTCAAAGCTAGAGAAAATAAAGGATAAAATACAAAACGGAAAATAGAACTCATCTCTTGGTTGGATTCTTGAAGATTGTTGTTGCTTGGTCTTGATTTTTCCCCAAACTCTCTCCACTTTTCTTGATTTTTTCTCCTCCTTGTGCCCCAGTTCTTGCCCCCTTTTCCCTCTATTTGGTGTGTTTAATGGGTGTGTAATGAATACCTATTCAATATGAGAAATGGGTTTTTAAATGACCTAAAAACGAGCTCTAAAAAAGTACCCAAAAGCCCCCAAGAAGATCAGAAAATCAAAACAACAAAGACAAATTTTGCTCCAGTAAGTTGACACATTTGTCAGCCAACACTTGGACGTTGTGACCAACTGTTGAAGCCACCCGTGCATGGGAGGGCATAGTGCAGGCTTTGCCATTTCCCTTTTCTTACATTTTAGCCTTATACTATTTGCAAATTAAGTCCCTCAACTTTGAACTTTTACATTTTGGTCCCCAAAATTTTGACTTATATTTCTATTCTGCCCTCGATAAATTGTATCCGAATTCCTCCAACTTTTAGTACTTTTACCTTGGTCCCCAAAACACTTTTAGCCCTTATTTGGTGGCGCTTAAAATTCAAATTTTAATCTAAACTACAGTCAACAATTAATTTTAACCACACACTTCGTCAATTTTTATCAAAATATATTAAAAATCTGATTTTAATCCGTACTAAACAAGGGCTTAGTCTCTTTTATCTTCCTTTTTGCTTTGCTCTTCTTCAATTGGAGATCTTACCCAATAAAAGTAATAATTACACAATTGTGAAGAAATCTGCTCATTTAATCAATATTAAGTTTATCTAGGCATCCAATAATTGTGCAAAAATACACTTATCAAGCTCTGAATAATGGTGCCGTATTGTGAGACCTATTTCTAGGTTATCTAGCTTCTAACCCATTAAAGATGTCGATGAAATTTTTTGGTCTCTACTCTCATTCATAGATGGTATGGAAGTTCTCCTCTCCTTCGGACATGTCATTTACAGGTTTGCCTAAACGACAATTTTGTGAGACATC